GGGGGGGTGTGAAAATTAATCCTTTTGTATATCTGTCTGTCTTGTTCTCCTGTGAATATCTGTGTCTACCTTGTGGTGTGAATGAAATTATTTGTGTGTATTCCTGTGTCTCAATATATTATCTGTGTCTTGCTCTTCCGTACATATCTGTCTGTCTGTTTCCACTGTGATTTTTTTTTTCTATATTCTGGGTCTGTGTGTATGCGTGTGTGCATGCATGCAAACAAGTAATCTGTGCCTCCCTGGATAGTGACAGGAAACACTTGCTGGGAAAAAACAACTGTCTTTTGCAAAGTTTCCGAAACAAGTTCCCAAAAAAATAATTCAAAGAAATAAATTGAATTGTTATACTATTAATAATTGAATTGAATAGCTAAGCTAAACTAAGCTAAATTAAGCTAAATCCTAACCACTCCTTAGCCCCCCCCCACAGAGCCTGCCATTGGAAAGGTAACCAGGGAGAAATCCTTCTCACTGGCTACCTACAGATGTCAATCTTTGCTCCCCCCCTCCACCCCCCGCTCCTACTCTCTGTCCCTCCCCCACTCCCTCTCCCTCTTCTAATTCCCTCAAAATGGCCAATGCGGCTCCAAAGCATCCGAAGCGGGTCCGAAGCGTTTTGGATGCCCCTGACCCACTCTGGATACCATTACTGGTATCCCACTTCAGACTCCGAAGCATACAAAGCAGGTCCGGATCCAAAGTGGGATCCGAAGACTCGCACAGCCCTACTAATGAATAAGATTCATAACCTAATGGTTCTATTTCCAAATGATCCACAAATGTGTATAAAGCAATGTTGAATTATTTTTAAATGCCAGCAAATGTATGCCTACCCTTTCTTTATTTTTAGAATGGAGTGATATGTCACTCGAGTAATTTCCTTGGGCAGAGAAAACACTTTTCAGATTTTTATTCCTAGTTTTTCCTTATCAAGGGGCAAGCAGTTTGAGATATTTGGGGGATTCTATCAGGGAAAAGTCCCTCACTCATGGAAGGAGTCAAGAAATAATATAAGAATCTTGTAGTCTTTAAATATTTTCTACAGTCAGAACAAAAGAAAAGCTTTGCCCATAATTCAGCAGCAATAATAGTGAGTGACCTGTAATTCTGTGTTGGTGCTGTTGGTGGTTTCACCAATGGACAGGGCACTGAGGAGTATCCATAAATAGAACAGAAACAGACTGAGCTTATCAGTGCCTAAAATCCATGTTAATAGTTTGACCTTTCTCTCTGTTTAGCAAAGAATACTTTGATTCTCCCTCTGTAATGCCCTTATTTTAATGTTTTTCTTCCCTAATACATTTTGTGATGCCACCTACTTGGATTTGGATATATCCATGGCTTGTTATGAAGTTATATAAATAGGGAGACAGATCTGCTTAAGTGTCTCTGCAAGAAACGTCATCAGTGTGGTCGTATGAAACTCAAAGTACCTGGTGTTCCTGCTAGAAGTTAAAGTTATCTTCCTTTTATTTTCCCCATGTTCTAAGTTGAGAACAAATTTAAAATTAAAAGAACTGCATCATAAACTCTGCTTTCTTTCCTTTTAGGTGAAGAGATACAATATCTGTCTATTGAACTTGCAGTGACCCAGGTCCAGTCTTCACAAAATGCTGCAATGCTTTTGGGGATGTGGGTAGTACCCCCTCTGATCTTCAGTCTTAGTGTAAGTGTCTGTATTAAGCTCCGAAAGGTTTATGAACCCGTTGAACCTAATGTACCCTATATAAACTTCTTCATGTATGACAGGGCTACTTATTCCTAGCTGTCCATATCTAGCATCTCAACTATGCAGTATCCTATAGAAGTTTTGTAATATGAATGAATCTACCTTTTAGTGAATAATTACTCATACCAAGGCCAACTTATGACCATCAGTGACCCATTTATTTATTATATCAATTATGATTCTTTCCTTTCATTTCATTTTTCTAAATTAATCTTTCTACATTTTAAAAGCGTGACCAGTGCTAAAATGCAAGTTGTTGTTATCCTCTATTAAGTGCAATTCAGGTTGTGAAAATTGTGTGAGCTCTCCAGGCCCCCTGAAGCACAGCATGAAATCAGTTTATAGAAATCCTACAGAATTCTACATCATCCTTAGCTTATGTAAATATTCTAGAGTAATGTTACTTTGCAATTTCTGAGGATCTGGTCTTGAATAATTCTAAGAAAATCCAGTGGACTTTGGACTTCTGTCCTTGATCCTCCACTTCTAGACTTTTTTGTACTCGTAATCCTTTAGACTTCACCCTTCTACGATTTGGTAATGGTGTGTGCTGCCAGCAAAAAGAAAATCTAAGGTTTAGCCTGTTATTTCTGAATACAGCAGAGTTTGATGGTCACAAAGACAGTGTTTCAAGGTCATAAAGGCAATACATTCAGTCAAAGGAAGGGGAGTTTTGCAACATGCTGGGAATCTCCGCTCTGGCCATTTATGGACAAGCTTGACAAGGTTTTGAGGAAACCATTTTAGCTTCTCTCTGTCAAAAAATCCTACTGCTTTGAATGTTTTGGGTAGGAATGGACCCTAAGTTCTGTAGGAAGGCCATAATCATGTCCAGTTTGAAAATGGTTGAAACCGGTTTGACATAAACCTGGTTGAATGTAGTATCAAACTAAACTGATTTAGGTCACACTGGTTTATGCAATGCCTGTCCTAGACCCCTTCCTGGTTTAAGTTAAATCAGAGTCCCCCAGCATCCTGGCATGTTCTCTGGGCTGGGCAGGGCTCTCTGCTCCAGGAACCTAGGCTGGCCCCTCCCTGGTGGAATTAGTTTGCAAAGTGGTTTGTGGCCCCTCCCTGGCTGCAGCTCCAGCAGAGACTGCACATACAGGTTGCCTGCCTGGCTTTCCCCACCCCCGCCAACCCCACTCCCTGCTAAGTAGGGATTCTCCCCTCCCCTCTGCCTTACACGAACACCTTTCAACATTAGCTAGCAGACCACGTGCTGGCTACAATCCGTGTTGTGGGAGACAGGACTGTGTTGCTTAGGGCTCTTTGATGCTAATCAACAGGTGGCTGGTAATGTCCCTCCATTCCTTCTTTGGAACAAGTTGTTTAAGAAGAGCTTGAACTAATGAGAGTTCCTTTTGTTTCGCTCATAGGGTGATAAATGCTCCCTGTTGTTTAAGTAAATGCTGTATAAATCCCAGCTGGCTCCTTCACTGACCAGCGGGGCGGGGGGGGGAACACGACAACACACTAATCAGAGCCTCCTGCCAGGGCCTGGCCATGCCTCCCTCAGCTCAGCACTATGGAATGGAAAGGAGAGCTGCTCTAGCACCCCCCAGCTTCTAGCCTGAGCCTCTGGAGGCATGTGTCTGCATTTTTCAGTCCAGACGGGATGTCTGTATGGTTACAAACTGACTCAGGCTAGGCAGGTTAGATTAACCTGCAAAGAATGAATCAGGTCAAGCTCAGGCTTTTTGAATGTTTGTTCCTAGCCAGGGGGTTAATGCTTACTTGTGGTAAAACATAAATGCGCTGAATTCTTCTGCATTTGGTACATCTGAAATGGATTTTTAGACATTTTTGAAAATGTTGCACCTGGTATATAGGCAAAGGATGAAGAGGTTTGGATACAAAATTAAGAAAATGTTGGGTCCAGAATTTTTAACATGAAAGGAGGGGAGAGAGTATTTGAACAATGACTGCCTTGAAACAAATAATGTTGGGTAGTTTGTTGGGTTCTGTGGTATTGGTTTACTGTTCTTCATAGTTGTTGTAAACAATCCAATACTTTTTCCAATTATTAATGAATGTTACTTGTAAGTTAGTGTACAGAACACGTGAGGAATTGTGATAAATCTTAAGCATATGATGCCCTCTATTTGTCTTTCAGATGAAAACCAGGGAATATCTTTTTACTTCTTTGCCTCTGTGGATGAAACACATTGCAGAAGACAAACTGCAAACTTTTGCTGAAATATTTCTGGTACAGCATTTTGAAGCAAAGAATCGTGCAAAAAATCCAAAGCTTTGCCAAAGTATCCTGCAGGGTCTCAGCCAAGCTATGAAACTTCCAACTCCTGCCCAGTATTGCTGGAGCTGTCTGTGTCAGGCCACTGAGAAAATATTTGACTTTTTACCAAATGAGATTCAGGTAAGTAAAATGAATGTTTACATTTTTTCATAGTTTAAGGCAGGGAAGGGCTAGTGTACATATAAGGGATAGAAAATATGCTATAAAATGTTGTGCATGGTTGTTTGTTAATACTAGCAAAATATTTTTTTCATTTTTTTCCTTTATAGTATATGGAAAAATTGTGAAACCAACTTCAGACTGGACTTTTCTTCATAAATGATCGGGCAATTGAGAAACACAAATTTTGTACTGAAGTAAAAGTTACTGCTGAAATTGAAGCAGAGACAAATTAGAGAGAAAGGGCTTTTTGCAGAGTGAAAAACTGAGAGCGCTCCTGTACAATATCATACAGAAAATTCAGTGGGGAAAAGCACTTTTCTTAAATGTTCCCTGGTATTGTTTTCATTTAGTTGCAAAAAATCATTCAAGTCCAGCATAAATGCAAAATAAAACTACAAATATTTCAAGCTTCATTTTACTGGAAAACTTTATTAAATGGTCATGATGAATTAAGGGGGCTCCTGGGTTCATTAATTTAGTGACACAGAAGTATGTGTGCCTGTCTGATATACAGTTGTCTATCTTTATTTTTTCCAGAGAAGTGAAATGGAAATGTATATAGATATAGCAAAATGCCTGTCAGAAATGGCTGATACAGAGATTGACCGAATTGCCCAAATCTCTAAGGTAATCATATTTTATTCTACGTTTCCAGATGTCTTTATACCCTTTATATATGATATAAAGATTTGTCTTACAGCTTTACTTGTTCCCAAACTATTTTAGCCCCTTGCAAGTCTTAATGACTTTGCAGGTTGTCTGGACCATCATAGCTACAACAATACCACAACACTACTTTCATTTGTATCCAAAGATGTAGCTGTCATGTTTCATTGTCATACCATGTGAAGAAGAATGGTTTGCTTAATCCAGTGGGTTTTCTTTTGTTGTTGCTTTGCAGAAAAATATAGAAAAGGCCTCTTTCATCAAAGTGTATCTAGTTTCTCAAGGCAGATTACCTTTGATGAGTTTGAATGATGTGATTGGTAATGCAATAGAATGCTGCTGGAAAGAGCCTATTACATGGATGTTGTTGCATTGTTTCTACCATGCCCGAATCATAAGCCATGAAAACACAGGTAAGGCCATGTCTAAAGAAGAAAGCACAGAAACTAATGGATCTGCAATTATTTTCTGTAATAGAGGTTTTGGGGGCATTTGAAGCAACTTTAAAATGGTTTAATCAAGCAGTTGTAATTTCTTACGTATTATTTCTGAAGTGGTATAGATGGACTCAATGCTTTATACACTAAAAAAGATGGTGCTAGTTTTCTTCGCGGCTTAATGCCTAATTTAGACCACTCTAATGGGCAAGGAAAGCAGGACTTCATCTTAGATTTGCAAAGGCTGATTTTAGTAGCTCTGACAAAAGCTCAGTGAAGCAATATAGGGCAAGGAGTATTGTTTAACACTGAATAGTTAAATGACAATGTACCCTGGGATATCGGAAGGCACTCCTCAAATCAGAGCGTGCAGACTAGTTGATTAAACAAACTTGCTTCTGGATGTACTTTAGTGATCAGATCTGCATTGTAGGAGTCCTTGCACAACACCACCTACATTCTCCAAATCCTTTTCCCAGTTAAGAGCTAGACTCCATACAACACCCAAATGAGTTATCTGGAAGTGGTCTAACAAAATACTCCCAGGAATTTTATTAGGGGATTTCCACAGAGCAGGTTGGAGGAATTTGTAGGCTGGAATTATTTGGAAGAAGTTTCTCCCCCACACCTTTTCCTCTCTTTCTCTTCCACTTCTTTTTAATGTGTTTTAGCTTGATGGTTTCAGAGCTTTTTACAGACATGTTGCTGATGTTATATTGTGAATTTTAGCTGCTGCTGCTACTATTATTATTAGTATTAGTAATTATTAGTATTATTAAAGTGTCCATATGCCTTTGGCCACAGGCAACCCCAAATTAAATGTTATGATTGTTGTTGTTCCTCCATTAGCCTGCTGTTTGGTTCCTATGGTGATTTCTTCTGTTTGCTTTTTAAAGAAAAAACTAGCATTTTATGAAAGACAATATTCTTGTTCTTACAGGAGTGTTGAAGAGAATGGACTGGTTGTTAGAACTGATGGGCTATACTAGAAATGTTGCTTACAAGTCAACTTCTATACAAAATGTGGATCTTAAAGAGGTACATACTGTGAAAATAATTTGTAGCTTTCAAGAAAAAAATGGTTTCTGGTATAATTTATATTCTTTTTAAGGAACAAGTATTATTCCCTTACTTGTTATCATTTTAGAAAACTGTCATCTTATGACCTCCATAAAGAAAATCTCTGATTTTCCTTCTTTGTTTCTTAATGCTTTCTTATACTTAAGAGCTCTTAAATATTCAACCCTAGCATCTAAACTGTGAGAGTAATGAAAGAAAACAAAAAGAAATCATTGTAGAAATCTCTACATTTAGAACCAGTGATAAGAGCTGAGAAGTGCCTTTGCAATCTTCATGAATTCATCTCTATGGAAACTTGCTGTCCCTGCAGGTCAGAGTTCTACAATAATTTTTCAGAAGGGTCAGACAGTTTTAGCTCCACCTATGTTGTTTGTACTTGTGTGTAATGCTCCTGCTTATCCGAGGCTGAACTTTTTCTGGGTCCCCTCCAAGTTGGACCTCCCCTCAACTCACCTGTCACGACTTTGACAGTAACAAATTGGATAGGAGGGTTCAGTGGTTGTAAATACAGAGGTTCCACTTGGGGTTACTCATGAATCTGAAAGTGGTTGATGAAGAGGGCTCCACCTCCCCTTCACCCACAACCACATGCCAGCCATTGGTATTGAGGTGATGAATTATGTTGCTGGAGTCCAGTCTGTTCCAGGTTCTTTCAGAGGCAATCCTGATGGCGCCACCTGGACTTATCCAGTTAGGCTAAATGGCCTCTGGTCTACTAGGGGTTAACCTTTGAATTAAGCCCTGATGGAAGAACTCCGGGTGGATCCTAATATTTTCTTTCCACAAAATCAAGGAAAAAAAAGAAGAAAAAGAGAGAAATTAAGAGGAGCCTCTTCCCATTCAGGTTGCTCCTATTCTGGCTAATACCTTTGTTAGCCAGTCTTGCACTCTCCCAGCTTCTTAGGAACACTGGGTTAGTTGCTGGGTTGAGGCTCAGTTCCCTTGCATCAGATTCCCCACAGCTCTGTATGTATTGAGCCCCTGTGGCTCTGACACTTCTTTGCCTGGGTGTCCTAAACCTGCCTCTTCCTCGGGCGCAGCTTGCGCAGAGGCAAGCTCTCTCCTCCTCTTCCCGACACTCCAGGTGCCTTTTAAATCTTCCACGGTAGCGCCGGGGCCTGATGTCATCAGCCTGGCACCGCCCAGCTTGATTGACAGCAGGCTCTTAAACCACAGCAGCGGGGGCGCATGTTGTTGCAGCCCTGTTGCTTCCTGCTCCAGGGATAAGTTTCTCATTTTGTTGTGGGCTTGCTCAGCCCATTTGGGATTCCAGGGTTTGTTCATGGGGTCTCAGGCCCCTTTCGTAACATTGTGTTTGTTAAAATCATTAAATCTTGTACTTCTAGTCATCAGCTAATCCATGCAGAGATCAGAAAAGAGGTTCATTTCCTTAGGGTACAGTACTGCACATGTGTATAGTTGGAAAGATGTGGGTAATTGTCTTAAAGTGTCAGCTAGCCCCTTCTGGGTACAGAGAGTCAAATACACTGGTGGTCTTGTCCATAAACACATTTCCAGTTTTAAATAAAAATAAATGAATAAATCAAGATCCTATTGCAAAAGAGGCCTAGTTAAGAAGCATTTCATTTTGCCTTTCTTTTTTTGTTCTCATACAGTTGTACTATTTACACTCCAAAGAAAAACCATAAAATTGCTCTTAATCCTCATCTTTGGCCAGCTTTCCAAACTTTTATTTCAGCTGATTGCTGTGTAGGTTTACTCCTAAAAGACAAGACATGGTCACATTTTTTTCTGTTGCTTCTCTAATGAACCAAACTTGTATTAATTTCCTGTTTAGGCTGTAGATTTCCTGTTGTGGATATTCGCAGCTTCTGTAGTTGCCTGGGCTGACCATGCTGCACCACTACTACTTGGTCTCAGTGCCAGCTGGTCACCATGGAAACCCAAAAACGCATCACCAGAATTGTCTGCAGATCGAATTGGCAAGCACCCAATCGATGAACTTGCTGTGCAGGAGATGTTTACTCTCCTTCCAAGCAGTATTCAACTTCTGCTAGCTAAAGAGCCTTGGAAGGAACAAACACAGAAGGTAAAGCTGCACATAATTTAACTTTCTCAGAGCCTGATCCTTCAAGATGCTGTTAGCACTTCTAGGGTGTCACCGGGTCATCCTCAGTACAGTCAGCTCAAGCCTTGTGTGAGGCAGCTAGTATTTCTTCTGTGTCTTTTGTATCTGACTGGTACTCTTTTTATCACGACCAGATATAACGTGACCTACCAGACTCAACATATGTTCTTAAATAAGATATGTAAATTACAAGCAGATAAAGAACATTTTAGAGGTGGGAATTTTAATGTTAGGTCGGTTTAATTGGAAAGAAGGGAGTATACAAAACTCTGCTTTCAAAGGACTAATTAAACATGCAGACCCTTAATAGTGAAATTGTCAACTGGTATAAATCATCATGACAAAGCTTTTGGAATTTATACTACCTGCAGAACTGCCTTCCAGGTTATAAAGCAATTCTTTCCTTGTAAACATTAGGTAGATATACACAAATGTGTGTGCATGTATGATACTGCATATGTCTAATTTGGCAAATCTAGCCCATACTTTCTGTATTTGGTAAAATTGTTGAAATGTACATCAGGCATTGAATTTTTTTAAATAGAATAGACACAAAAGAATGTCTCCCTGTACCATTCAGCATACTCCAAACTCCCCTTGAAGTCCGTGTGTGGAATATGTGAGGAATGTGGCATCTAGGCCATTCATATACAAATGAATAAATACGTTTTAGTAAAGCAGTGGGGCTTATGCCTTAAGAGTCATCTTCGGATACCTGAAATGTTGCATTCTCCTGTGGACAGTAAACATTATCAGAAAGACACTGAAGACTAAGAGAAGTCAAAAGAGTGATGAGGAAATTGACTCAATGGCCGCGTCCACACATGCAAGCATGTGCACTTGCAGCAGCTCAAATAGAAGCAGTGCAAATTTGAGCCAGGGCTTTTTGCCTCAGCGAACGTGCCAGGACATGCACTTTGGTGTGGAGAAAATTGTGCCACTTGGGGCAAAATGATCCTCCCTGGCTCCTCCTGGATCTGCAGCCAGGGGGAGCTAGAGCCCAGGGCCAGCACCTGTGCTGTCCCCAGCTGTAAAAAAAAAGCTGCCCTGTCCTCACCCCATCAGTACAAAAAGCTGCCCTGTCAAGTAGCTCAGGTCTACTTGATCTCAGGAGCTTCTGGGGCCCAGCCAATTGGTACCTGTGGACACTACCCCTTGTGCCAGCTAGACTGCTGAAGCAGCCCTGAGAGTTCCCTGCACCCTCTACCCACTGCAGCAG